GGAAAAATTGCGACTTTGAAGCGTCCCGCGCAAACCTTTCGCGCGAAATGGACGTTGGACGTCAAAAACTGAGGAAAAATTGCGATTTTACTTAGTCAATCGCAACCCTTTCGCACGAAATGCACGTTGGACGTCAAAAACTGAGGAAAAATTGCGACTTTGAAGCGTCCCGCGCAACGCTTTCGCACGAAATGGACGTTGGACGTCAAAAACTGAGGAAAAATTGCGATTTTACTTAGTCAATCGCAACCCTTTCGCACGAAATGGACGTTGGACGTCAAAAACTGAGGAAAAATTGCGACTTTGAAGCGTCCATCGCAACGCTTTCGTCTGTGTAAAAGTGTCTGTCTGTCTGTCTGTCTGTCTGTCTACCTGTCTATCTGTGGTGCGGTGTCATTCAGTGTAATGTAGTGTAGTGTAATGTAGTGTAGTGTAGTGTAGGGTAATTGAGTGTAGTGTAGTCTAGTGTAGTGTAGTGTAATTTAGTGTAGTGGAGTGTAGTGGAAGGTAGTGTAGTGTAATGTAGTGTAGTGGAGTGTAGTGTAGTGTAATGTAGTGTAGTGTAGTGTAATTGAGTGTAGTGGAGTGTAGTTGTGTAGTTGTGTAGTTGTAGTTGTAGTTGCAGTGTGAGGGGAGTGTAGTGTAATGTAGTGAAGTGTAGTGGAAGGTAGTTGTAGTGTAATGTAGTGTAGTGGAGTGTAGTGTAATGTAGTGTAGTGTAGTGTAATGTAGTGTAGTGGGAGTGTAGTGGAGTGTAGTGGAGTGTAGTTGTGTTAGTGTAGTTGTAGTTGTAGTGTTGTGGAGTGTAGTGTAGTGTAATGTAGTGTCGTGGAGTGGAGTGTAGTGTAATGTAGTGTAATGTAGTGTAATTTAGTGTAGTGGAGTCTAGTGGAGTGTAGTGGAGTCTAGTTGTGTAGTTGTAGTTGTATTTGTAGTGTAGCGGAGTGTAGCGTAGTGTAATGTAGTGAAGTGTAGTGGAAGGTAGCGTAGTGTAGTGTAATGTAGTGTAGAGTAATGTAGCGTAGTGGAGTGTAGTGGAGTGTAGTTGTGTAGCTGTAGGGTAGTGTAGTGTAGTGTAATGTAGTGTAGTGTAGGGTAATTGAGTGTAGTGTAGTGTAATGTAGTGTAGTGTAGTGTAATTTAGTGTAGTGTAATTTAGTGTAGTGGAGTGGAGTGTAGTGGAGTGTAGTGGAGTGCAGTTGTGTAGTTGTGTAGCTGTAGTTGTAGTGTTGTGGAGTGTAGTGTAGTGTAATGTAGTGTAGTGTAGTGGAGTGTAGTGTAATGTAGTGCAGTGTAGTGAAGCGAAGCGAAGCGACATCTGAACCTCCAAAAGTGGTCCGTACATGGTGTGCTTTGTACATTTTGACTTGGAAATGTGCTTCGCGCCACAACGACGTGCAGTTTTTCGAAATCTGAACTTCCAAAAGTGGTCCGACAATTGGTGTGTTTTGTAGATTTTGACTTCGAAATGCGCTTCGCACCACAACGGCATGCACTTTTTCGACATCTCAACTTCCAAAAGTGGTCCGACAATTGGTGTGCTTTGTAGATTTTGACTTCGAAATGCGCTTCGCGCCACAACGCCGTGCACTTTTTCGACATCTCAACTTCCAAAAGTGGTCCGACAATGGTGTGCTTTGTACTTTTTGACTTCGAAATGTGCTTCGCGCCACAACGGCGTGCACTTTTTCGACATCTCAACTTCCAAAAGTGGTCCGACAATTGGTGTGCTTTGTAGATTTTGACTTCGAAATGCGCTTCGCGCCACAACGCCGTGCACTTTTTCGACATCTCAACTTCCAAAAGTGGTCCGACGCTGAGGTGTTTTGTACATGTGCTTCGCGCCACAACGGCGTGCAATTTATCATCTCTCATCTGGCCAGCTGGCTCCGCACCCGCCGCTTTAGCGAGCCTACTTTTCGACCCTCCGGAGCCCCAAATCATTGGAAAAACACAGTGTTTCGCGACTTTCCTACCTTTTCGCGCATCTGCATCTTCTTTCTTCTTACGCTTTCTCTTCTACTCTTGTTTCTTCTAATCTTTCTCTTCTCTCTGCCTCTTCCCTGCTCTGCTTTTCATCTGTCCATATTGTCGGAAGTTTGACTTCTAAACTTCCTTCGATAATTACAGTACATAATTACATAATCATACATATACATGCATGCGCATGCATATATTGACTTCACAAAACGCAGTCAGGTGCAAACTGGTGTCGTGCGTCTCATGGATATACCAAACAGCAAGCCCTGGTCACACGCGAATCGAATGGCACAGATTGCGTCATGCTCTGTGATACTACTGCTACTGAAGTACAAACTAGATCATGTGCAAGCCTTTGGATATGCCACTGATGCTGCTACTGGATGCTTAACAAAGACCTACTGGTTTGTCAAGGGGGCGGGAAGACCCGAAACAGCGATAGTGCGCAGGCAACTCTAGACACCCTCAAATTTTGCAAGCACAAGCCGCGGCATGGGTCCAAGAGGCACCCAGACCCAACGAACAGAATCAAGAACCTAAAAGTTAGACCTGGTATTGCAAAAAGGAATCAAATGGTAGACTTGGGAAAACCCTAGGTCTTCAGCCTCGAGGACCTTGCAAGTGATGTACAGGTCCACAATATGATACACAAAGAGAACGTACAAATTGAACATGTATCATGTATATACTGTATGCTGTACTATACTGTACAGTACAGCCAAGGACATACTAGAGAGAGAGAGAGAGAGAGAGCGAGAGAGCGAGAGAGCGAGAGAGCGAGAGAGCGAGAGAGCGAGAGAGCGAGAGAGGGAGAGAGAAGTCTGCCGGCAGGTGCCTGGGAAAAGAGATAGATCAATCGAATCGAGAGATCGAGGCATCGGCGTATAGGATCCAGTGCCTCTCAAAGATTTCAAGAGCGGCCTGCACATCCGGGCAGATACGAGTGTGCTGCGGTCCAAACCTCTACGAAGAAGTTTCTTTCACCTGCCTGGTAAACCGTTTGAACATCATCCAAGTCCTTCTTGTCCAGAGTGTCGACTCGTGCCACATACCTGGGTTCAACACGTTGGCCCCGTGTGTAAAAATCATTAAAAAACCGGCAAGAAATGGCTACCGAGGACAGTACTCCTCCTCCATGTGCAGAAGCATTTGGGTATCCTTCCAAGTGTTGAGTAACGGTGCGGTGCAGAGTCAGGACGCATCTCAAGCTCCAGCATGGCCTCTGAAGATGGACTGCTCCCACAGACCTTGCAAGTCTCAAAGCCTCTTGTGGGAACCTGCGCCAAGCACACCGACGTCAAGTCTGAAAAATGCGGGCGGCCATGCCAGCCGCTCAGCAGCTCGCACAATGGCCACACGGTCACAACCAGTTGAGTCGCAGCAAATGCCACTTTTGACACTGCCTCCGGGTACAGAACTCCAACCTTGCACCTCTGGCAGCGAATACCACGCCCAACCTGCCATGTGCAGCGCATTTTGCCATAATGAAAGCTAACCTGGCCAGTTTATCATCATCAGTTTGCTCCGGAGATTACAGCCAACTCAACTCAATCATTAGTCCTTTGGAATGTCCAAAGCTCTGCAAAAAACAAGTGAAAAAAACTGATGCAGCTTCTCTCAAGCCAGAAATATGCAAGAGAAAACGAACTACACGTCAGCAGCAGCATACCCTCAGCAAGTTGGAGAAACAAAGGAAAGCAAGGAGAAAATTGAGCTGAGGGAAGAGCAGCTAACATGCACTTACAACATGGGACCCGATGAAATTGGGAAGGTGGACCCCAAAAACACCGAAACATGGATAATAGGACAAACGAAGAGAAAGTCGCATAAACATGCATATGTATGTATGTCTGTCTGTCTGTCTGTAAGTATGTCTGTATGTTTGTATGTCTGTATGTATGCATGCATGCATGTATGTATGCGCGTATGATGGATGGATGGATGGATGGATGGACGGACGGACGTACGTACGTATGTATGTATCTATATATATATATATGTATGTATATATATATGTATGTATGTATATATATATATATATGTGTGTATGCAAATATATATATATATATATGTATATACATACATACATACATACATAACAAAACACAACAAAACATAACATAGCATAACATAACATACATACAATACATACATACATACATACATACATACATACAGACATACAGACATACAGACATACAGACATACAGACATACATACATACATACATACATTACATACATTACATACATTACACATTACATACGTTACATACGTTACATACGTTACATACGTTACATACATTACATACATTACATACATTTCATACATTACATACATTACATACATTACATACATTACATACATTACATACATTACATACATTACATACATTACATACATTACATACATTACATACATTACATACATTACATACATTACATACATTACATACATACATTACATACATTACATACATTACATACATTACATACATTACATACATTACATACATTACATACATTACATACATTACATACATTACATACATTACATACATTACATACATTACATACATTACATACATACATACATTACATACATACATACATACATACATTACATACATTACATACATTACATACATTACATACATTACGACATTACATACATTACATACATTACATACATTACATACATTACATACATTACATACATTACATACATTACATACATTACATACATTACATACATTACATACATTACATACATTACATACATTACATACATTACATACATTACATACATTACATACATTACATACATTACATACATTACATACATTACATACATATATATGTATGTATGTATGTATGTATGTATGTATGGGATAGCGCCTGGAATACCCAAAAAAAAACAATCAGGCTCTTGACCAGACAGCTTCAATCCACTGGATTGAAGATTCCTGGGCAAGACCTCCTTAAATGGTCCACTGGGGGTTGGCTTTTAAAACTCTCAAGTCTGACAAGTCAGATGATGGTTGCTGGAAACTTTCTTGTCACACGGCCCATAATCTATTTGGAAACTTTCTTGGCCAGTTGACTCAATGTTGCCACACAATGCAAAAGCAGGGTATTGGTGGGGGGTTGCGTGGCATATCTCTATTTATACATGTGTACAGATATATATATATTTATATATATATAAACCATATATAAAAACAAAAAATGTAAATATATGTATGTATATATATATGTGTGTGTGTTTGTATATACAAATATTTATGTATATAAATATATATCGGCATGTCTCTATATATATATGTCTATATATATTTATGTCCATATATATATACATATATGTCTCTATATATATATATATACATATATGTCTATATATATATGTCTATATATATATGTCTCTATATATATATATATGTCTATATATATATGTGTATGTGTCTTTATATATATACACAAAAATGATTGTACAACTTATATATATAGATATGTATACACATGCATGCATGCATGCATGCATGCATGTAGACATATAACCATACAAGCATTCCATTCTGTTCGGTTTCATTCCATTACATTACGTTACATTTACGTTGCAAATATCATACATGTTATACATCATATAATTTATATATATATACAAATGTAAATATTATATAAATATACACACACGCGCACATATGTGTGTGTATTTGTGTATGAATGCTTTTGTGCAGGGCACCGGCAGCTTGGGTATGACTTTTGGCACTGACGATGACAACGCATTGTGACGACACATTGTCTGACGCCGCATTACTCCTTGACGGCGCATTACCCCCTGACGATGCATTGTGACGACACATTGCCTGACGACGCATTACGCCTTGCCGACGCATTACCCCGTGACGACGCCTTGCAATGTGATTGTGACGACACTTTCCCTGGCGACGCATTGCCTCTTGACGACGCATTACCCCCTGACGACGCATTGTGACGACACTGCCTGACGACGCATTGCCTGTTGGCGGGCTAGGCATGAGGAGCAAGGGCGCAGGCATACTGTAATATGTGAGAAGATAGATAGAGGAATGTAGATGGAGAAAGAGGAGCCGGAGGGCAGAAAGGGATTTGGAAAAATACCTAAGAGTCTAGCATCCAGAGCGTGTTGGAGGTCAGAGCGTAGCATCCAGAGCATGCTGGAATGCTCGAGGAAGAACAAAAGAGCGTAGCAACTAGAGCGTCCTGGCCTGCGTAGCAACAAGAGCGTGACTTTCTCCAGACCGCAGCGCGCGAAGCGTAGCACCAACAAGAGCGCGTTGGAAGTTCCAAGAAAAAGTTATATGAGCATATTGTCACGATTGTGGTGGACCGTAGCGTCACGAGTATCTCGGACTGTTCCAAGAGAAGGTTCAGCGCGTAGCATCAAGAGAGTGTTGGAGCCGGAGCCAAGAACGTGGCACCAAGAGTGGGCCGGAATGTTCCAGGAGGAAGCTAAGAGCGTAGCATCAAGAGCGTGTTGGACTTTAATGCGTCACAAAGAGAAGCAAAAAGAGCGTTCCAAGAAAAACCAAGAACGTAGCGTCAAGAGCGTGCTGGCATGTTCCAGGACAGAGCAAAGAGAAAGCGTCGGAAAGCCCGCAAGATAGTTAAGAGATTAAAAACACCAAGAGCGTGTTGGAAGTTCCAATAGAAAGCTAAGAGCGTAGCATCAAGAGCATGTTGGGGTCAAGAGAGCAGCATCAAGACCTTGCCGGACTGTCCCAGGAGAAAGTTAAGAGCGTAGCAGCAAAGGCGTGTCGGAAAACCCAAGAGTAAGCCAAGATCATGGCAGCAAAAGTGTGTTGGAAAGCCCAAGATCCAAGATAAGCCAAGTGTTCGAACTTCCAAGAGAGAATTAGCGTAGCATTCAAGAGCATGACTGTCTGCAGAGGGTAGCGTCAAGGGCGTGCTGGGCATGCTTCGGAGAAGGCCAAGAGCGTAGCATCAAAAGAAATTTCAAAATCTCAAAGAGCAAGACAGAAGGCAGTATCAAGAGGCTCTTCCCTTTCGTTTCGTCTCCTCTTCTGTTCCCCACGTCGTTCCTTTCGTTCTAACTTCTGCTCCGTTCGTTGCGTTGCTTCCTCCCCAGTGTTTCATCCTATTCATTTACCTCTTCCTTGCGTTTCACCCCGTTCATGTCGTTACGTCCTGCCTTTCGTTTCAACTCCTACATCCCGTTCATTTACCTCTTCCTTTCGTTTCATGTCGTTCATTTTGTTACCTCCTTCCTTTCGCTTCAACTCTTCTTTCCTGTTCGTCTTGCTCTTCCTTTCGTTTCAACTCGTCCATTTCATTGCCTCCGTCCTTTCGTTGCAACCTTTCCCTTCCATTCGTTACTCCCTTCCTTTCGTTTCAACTCTTTTTCATCCCGTTCGTTACTTCATTCCCTTTCGTTTCAACTACAGGGCTTCTGTTCCCTATACATCGTTTCTTTCGTTTTAAACTTTAAAGTCTTCTCTTCCTTTCGTTACTTCCTCCCCGGTGCTTTAACGCTGCCGTCCTCTTCATGTACCTCGTCCTTCCATTTCAAGGCAATTTTGGCTACTTCCTTTCCTCGTTTCAACTCTTACATGCGGTTCATTTACCTCTTCCTTTCGTTTCATGCCGTTCATTTCGTTACCTCCCTCCTTTCGCTTCAACTCTTCTTTCCTGTTCGTCTTGCTCTTCCTTTCCTTTCAACTCGTCCATTTCATTGCCTCCGTCCTTTCGTTGCAACCTTTCCTTCCATTCGTTACTCCCTTCCTTTCGTTTCAACTCTTTTTCATCCCGTTCGTTACTTCTTCCCTTTCGTTTCAACTATAGGGCTTCTGTTCCCTATACATCGTTTCTTTCGTTTTAAACTTTAGGCTCTTCTCTTCCATTCGTTACTTCCTCCCCATTGCTTTAATGCTGTCATTCTCTTCATGTACCTCGTCCTTCCATTTCAAGGCAATTTTGGCTACTTCCTTCCGTCGTTGCAACTCTTACATGAGGTTCGTTTACCTCTTCCTTTCGTTTCATGCCGTTCATTTCGTTACCTCCTTCCTTTCGCTTCAACACTTCTTTCCTGTTCGTCTTGCTCTTCCTTTTAACTCGTCCATTTCATTGCCTCCGTCCTTTCGTTGCAACCTTTCCCTTCCATTCGTTACTCCCTTTCGTTTCAATACTTCCCTCCCGTTCGTTTGCCTCTTCCTTTCGCTTCAAGTCGTTCATTTCATTTCATCCTTCCTTCTGTTTCAACTCGTACATCCCGTGTCATGGCAGACTTGAAAAACTCGAGTGGCTGCAAGTGGCTGCGCATGGCTCTGTTTTGAATTTCAACTACCGCGCGTTTTGCAACAATGTTACAGTTTCTAATCCAGCCCTTGTTCGCCTTCCTCCTTGAAACCCAAGAAAAATAAAATATGGATCTGATGGTCTGGGGGCTTCGCAATATTCCTTTCATTGGCAGCAGGGGTCGCCACACATCCCCGAGCCCACAAACACAGCATCCAGCAGATTCCTACTTGTGGGGTGTATCGCAACTTGCAACTATAAGCTATATATATATTATATTTCAAGGCTCTGGGCGTCTGTGCGAAACTTCTTTTGACAACGCGGTCTTTTTGGAATGTGGTAGAGGACGGCAAGGAACAGACGGACGCTTACGGATGCCACGAAATTAATGCACAGTATAATGTGCACACTGTAAGACTTGCCGTACTTCAATGTACTTCATGCCTTCGCACCACGCATCGTGTTTGCCATGAGTTTGAAGAAACGCTGCCTGGGCAAGCATCGGGGGCACGTATGGACCCCATCTTACATTTTTGAATCTACACTCCTTTGTCTGGTCTGGTCTCCGGGAAAGAATTCGTCTTCGGGAGCAATTCGTCTTCGGCAAGGAATTCGTCTTTCGGGGGGCAAGTCATCTTCGGGGAATTCGTCTTCGGAATTCGTCTTCGGGAAGGAATCAGTCTTCGGAGGACAATTCGGCTTCCGGGAATTCGTCTTCGGAATCCGTCTTCGGGTAGGAATTCGTCTTCGGGAAGGAATTCGTCTTCAAAATTCGTCTCCGGGAAGTAATTTGTCTTCGGGGGGCAATTCGTCTTCGGGATATTCGTCTTCAGAATTCGTCTTCGGGAAGTAATTCGTCTTCGGGGACCAGTTCGTCTTCGGGGAGTTCGTCTGCAGAATTGGTCTTCGTAATTCGTCTTCGTCTGCGGGTGGAAAAGTGACACCTGCGCAGCGGCCCCAATCCTTTTGTGTGCGTGAAGTTGTCTTCTGTATCTCTGTCACTGTCTTTCTGCCCGTCTATCACTCAACATCAGGCTCTACATTTACAAGAGATCCGAATTCGGTGGGAGTCCTATGTATCATTATGTATCCACAGAATACAACGCCTAGCGCCTTCACTTGGCACTGCATCAAGCCCCCTCCCAGTTCTCTTAACATGCAAGTGGTACATCCACTTTCAGTGAGCACCGTGGACCTCACTGCAATTCCCGATGGCTTTCTTTGCGCCGACAAGCGAGGAATTCCTAGTTGCAAGCTATACGAAACCAAAGCCAAACCAGGACGCGGGCACATGCAAGTAAACTTCCTGAGCTAGGCCAACATCAGGTTTCCAACATCTGAATCTCGCAGTGCTGTACTGAGTATTGAAGATCCTGGGAACTTCAGAAAGTTGAGACACCGGACCAATTTTGAAGTTTCTGCTGTCTGACTCCGGTGCTTTTCAATAAGTCTTCGTCCTGCAAGTCTGCTAATGAAAGCCATGAAGCAAATTGCTTCAATTCAACAGCACTTGTAAATTCAACTTGCACCTGAAGGTAAGAGATGGTGAGCTCCCCGCCCTTTTCCAAGGCCATACTGCAAGACACGTAGCAAAAGGTACCATTTGCGCAAGATCAAAAACCGATGGGTTTGGCAATAGGTTCAATGTGGCTTGCAGGCTTACAAGCTTACATAGCTTGCATGCTCAGCCATGACTAAATGCTAGAACATATCTGCAAGCTGAAAAGAACAGCTACCGCACCGGCTCCGAAGGACAAAAGCATCTTCATCTCCATAAGACCAACCTTGGCATTGTTCATCTATGTTCAATTTGTGTTCATATACGTTTTCGATGTTCGTTATCTGTCCTTCGTCACTTGAGTCTTTGCAAAGAGCAAGCTCTGGACAGCAAGTTGGGTCGCAGGAATGCGCACCTAGAGCCACCGCAATTCCAGCAACTGGATCAAGAACCAAACAACGAAGGAGTTGAGATTTGTCAATAAGAATAATGTCTTTGGAATTCTCATCTCGTCCCACTAGTACAGCCCATGGGCATCTGACACATAGATATCCTGTTGTACAAGACCAGGCCGTCCTGCAGGTACACCGGGAGTAGCTAAAAGATGCCGAAAGTTGTTGAGATGATCATATGATGATCACAGCCCTCCAAACTGCCGGAGCCGGAGCTGTGAGATCTGTGAGATCTGTGACATCTGTCCGAGGCCCCCAAGGCCTCTTTGTGATGTCCAAAAGAGTTGTAACCTTGGCGGCTCGTGACTCGGCTCGTGACTTGTCACTGCTTGGAGCTTGGGAGTCCGTGTGGATGAATTCTCAGCAAAGGTGCGCCAAGCAGAGACGAGTCTTTGGAAGTTCTTTGCTTCGAGGTTGCGAATTCTGTTGCTCCTGGCATGTTGATGGGATGCCATGGCGCTTCACATGTTGACGTGACTCATCAAAGTCAGAATCTTTTGGGCAGCTCGGAAGCAACACAGGCTGGGACCACTCGCCATCTAAATCAGCCTCCTCAATGTGTCAGCACGTTAAAAAAAACGCTTAGGACTCTCACAATAACAAATGAACAGAAGATAACAGCAGCACATGTGTTGCACAAGACGGTTATAACTATATAGTTATAACAGCTTCATCAGACACATAAAATCAACCGTCTTCGTAAGCGTAGGACCTGGAGCACCTTGAGGATACGTAACACATCTTCGTTGGGCTCCTGAATGGAATCTGGTTTCCATTGCTACAAGTCCCACAACCACAGCATTTATCCTCATCAGGCTCAGGTACATATTTGTCCCTGATGATGTCGATGTCCCCAGTTTCCTGGCACAAGTGTCCCTTTTCAATGGATGTTGCAATCTTCTATGAATCTTTGTTATCATCAGTTATCGTATTGATGTTCACTCTGAAATCACAATCGGTGTTAAGATCAAGAACTTGCCAGGCACCAGCGTGAGCACAGAGACCAGAGCCGCAAAGTGGAAAGTAATGGTGCCCAGGTTGAGAGGTTGCGCCTGAGCAAAACAATGCAAAACGACCCCTGAACCAAAAGAAAATCACTGAAAGAGCAGGGATGGCCTCGTGCAGCTTTTGAAGGCACTCCCACAGCTTGGGCGCCACAGCTGGCATTGGACACAAGGAGCTAAACGTGGGAGTGCAAAGACACCGGGAAGAAAAAACCGCTCAAGCTTTGCACTTAAACTTTGAACCAGAGTATCCCACCATATCCCACCCAAGTATCCCGCCTGGTAAGGCCACAAGGAGGGGTCTCTCCGCAAAAACAACTTGGCCAGGCTCACAAGCCTGACATGAACTGATGCTTAAGCAAGCACACGGTCAGAGCCACCCAAGCGGCAACCCGCAATAGCTTTGCACATGTTTGCACTCTTGCCCCAAGACCCAATATGAGTATATCATGCATGCGATAATTGGAAAACCTCTGACTGGAAGCGCGCTTCCAAGAGATGCCTAGAGAAACCAAGAACGGATTTGTCTAGCAATGGCGAAAATAGGGCACTGTATGAAGATGCATGAAATTATTGCGCGTTGGGAAACGATAAGCATGATATTCTATCACAAGTAGGATCAAACAGGACTTTTTCCTTGAAACGATGCTTCAAACACACCAAGATTTGAATTCCAGTGGATGAGGCGTTTGGAACAGAATGCTGGACTCACCAGGGCTGAGCAAGAGTCCGAAACAAGTTGCCTTAGAAGAGCTGTGGGAAAATTGATGTGTAAAACGAAAAACATTGGTTGAGGAGGCCAATGTCTTACTGGCCTCGTTGATGAAGAGACATCTTCCTTTTTGCTTGGTTGACCGGACTGTGGCCCTTTTCTCTATCCTTCCAAGAAAGATTTTGAAAGAACTCAAGCCAAACTCTGGGTGCAATGCTCACAGTGCTACAGATTCCGCAGTGATCAGATAAGTCTCCTTGATCTGCTCCATGCAGTGGTCTCGTCAGAGGGACGCATGACCTGCACCAAGACATATTGCCAAAAGGATAACCGACCCACGCGACATCAAGTCAAAGCACTACATGTTCCGCATTGAAATTGCTAAGCAAAGACCACGCAAGACGAATCCGAAACCATTCATGCCTGGTCAAAGGACACCTTGCGGTGAGAAGTGTCAGCCTTAATGATAGTGGTCAGAGTTCAACTCCCATTCGACGTTAAACGGATTTATATAAAAAGTACTTCATTCTATTTCTTGAAAAGATTTGAAAAGTTAAGACACACACAAAAAAAAAAAACAATTTCCGCTACTCGCATTGTTGCTGCCCTGCCTCTGCATCTAATTGGCAAGAACTATAAGCACAGAACATCATCCCAGGTAACCACGACAGTCCTGTCAGTTTCGTTCACCTGCGCGCTGCCCCAGCGGGATATCCCCTTCCAATTTGGATCAATTTGGTGTGTTTTGTTCGATACCCTCGTTTTTGATGGCTTTGCTAGCACATGTAGCACCAGCACCTAAGAACTTTCCAAAATTGAAACGGTCTTAGGCAATTGAGCCATGTTCTAGATGTATTACATCCTGGCACCAAATAAGGAAATGCTTACGCCATGGCTTGCGTTTTGCTTACGCGCGCACAGGTTTTGCTTACGCGCATATCTTTTCTTACGCGGAGCTTACGCTGGCTTACGTGCACCACAGTTTTACTTGCGCCACACCCTTACAAGGGCCCCCTTGCTTAACATGAACACAAGGGTTTAGAACGTGGCTCAATTGACAACAATGTTCACTATAACATTTCAAATTGTCACAACCCTATCTTTCGCAAATATCTAGGCACTCATAGAACCAAGAGACAATGGAAGTGTGACCCCGAAACCTTTGAACAAAGGGTCGATGACATAGCTGAAAAAAAACACCTTGAATCAGCAAATCAATTGCTCACTGATCCTTCAGTGTCTAATATAGAGGTTTCTTTTTGCAACCTGTCACATGATAGACAAAACTATTCTGCCTCATTTCTATAGAGGTGCTGGCGCTTGTGTTCTTGGATGCCACCAGGTCACCAAGCGCATGTTTTAAGTATTTCTGATTTTCAATCGACCAAGCTATCCAAAGAAAAAAAGGCGCTGCACCTTGAACTTGTCTGCTCCGGCAATAAAGGCAGCTAGAAAGCTTAGGTAAAGGCAGCTAGCTGCCTTATAGACAACGGAACCAACACTGACGATCGCCACAGAAGCAAGCAGCAGCAATTACGCACTACGCGCTACAACTTAAATCAAACCAGTAATCAAACAAAAACAAACGAAAGGACCTACAACAACAGCAGCACCAGGCACAGCTACAGCGATAAGGACGATGACATTGATAGCGACAACCACGGTAACAGCAACAGCAAGCTAGAAAAACAAGAACAACCCACAACTGTCAAGCATCAAAACAATCATCTTTGCAGCAACGTGGCAAGCTGGGCAAAGTGGTGCCTTACGAACGGCTTACTGAACAGAGGTAAAGCAGCCCTGGATTCGCAGATCAGTCACCGTGCAATTTCACGATGATGTTTATTGAAGCAATCCCCAAAGAGCCTGCGTACCACCCAGCCCAAGAAACGGACTCTCACCACACCAAGGATCTTGACACTTCGCTGTATGACTGTATGGATTCAGAGATCAAAGGCTTTACACAGAACTGCCACAGGGCTTCTCTCTATCAATTTGCAATTTGCATTCCTTCCAACAGTGGAGTCAATCCATGGACCAAGGGGAGTGTAGCAAAGAGTTGTCGAGACCCTAACGTCACTTGGACATTGGCTTCTGGATCACTTGAACATGAGGGATCACTTAGAGCTTTTTAGGTTCACTTGACATGGGATTCCGAATCACTTGAACATTAGACACTTGGACACCCCTCACACCTTTAGGGTCTGGCAGAGGGATTTTGGGGCATGGGGACATGGGGGCATGGGATCAACCATTCTCACACCTTCGCCCCAGGGGCATGGGGACATTGGGGCATGGGGACATGGGGGCCCGAATACACGATCATCTTCATGATCTTCATGATACTCATCCTGTTCTTAATCATGGCCGTCTTCGCCATCATCCCCATCATCCATATAATCAAACATATCATCATCGTCATAGTCATAATAATAATGATAATAATAATACGTAATAATAATAATAATAATAATAATAAACATCATCATCATCATCATCATCATCATCATCATCATCATCATCATCTCCATCCATCCATCATCCATCATCCATCATCCATCCATCATCCATCATCCATCATCCATCATCCATCATCCATCATCCATCATCCATCATCCATCATCATCATCATCATCATCATCACCACCACCATCACCATCACCATCACCATCACCACCACCACCACCACCACCATCATCATCATCATCATCATCACCACCATCTCCATCATCATGATCATCATGGACCCTGTCTCAAAGGCTTCAAGAACGTTGTAAGCCCCCCACCCCCCGTGTTGAGCATAAGCGAGCATGTGCAACATGTCAACAACAGCAACATGTTCCGTGGACCCTGTCTCAAAGTCGTCACGAACATTATGAGCCCCCCCTCTGTTGAGCATAAGTAAGCATGTGCAACATGTCAAAAATGGCAAATCAGCCACATGGCCCACGTTCAAGCGATCCAAAATCCCACGCACAAGCGAGAAAAACGCCAATGTTCAAGCGAACCCCCGCCCGACCCTAACACCACTCAGATGATTCGGGAGAATTGCAAAGGGATTCTTGGGATATCTTCATGCGAGAAAATTGAGAAATTGCAGGCATAAGCAATTCAGAGCAGTTGAAAGTCACTGTCTCTAGTCACATAAATAAAGCCAGGCCGTGAAAAGTCACTGTGCTGTCTCCAAGCCTCTGCAATGGTCGAAACCTCAGCACAATTTTGATAGCTTTGCTCACAACACCGCTGCCAGGCTCAAGATCTGCCAAGACTGAAGACAAGATCAGCGACGTGCGAAGTGTTTTTATTCTTAGCCAGTGGCATAGTAACAGTTGTTACCTGCCCACAAAGCGTAGACTCTGTCACCAATTTTCCACCTGGGCAGGTTGATTAAAGCATCACCAAAGACTTGGGAATCAAGGAGAGGCTCTCAGCACTCACCAAACATTTGTTAAGAAAGAAAGCCAAGCATGCAGGGCTTGAGAAGCGTAGCTGCTAGTGAACTAGTCACACTGGAGACATCCACCAATTTGTGGTGTGTCTTCAGGACTGTAGTGTGTTCTGGATTTCCTGACCAAGACCCCTAGAATCTAGAACAAGGATGAACAAGGAATTCTTTGGAATGGAAGGAAAAAGGGATGTTGTAAGCGTGAAGGGACAAAGACATGAAGGTTTGAGCTGACAGCCTCAGCTCATCATCGTCCTCACCCTGCAATCAAGTTCCAACAGTGCAAAATGCATCGCATGGTTCTCAAGCAAGCTGTTAGCCTTCTTTTCTTTACGAACAAGCACCTGGTATTCTTTGTAAAGTTATGACCGTTGTTCCTGGTAAAATGGTGCAGTCCTATGGTCCTATGTTTCGATTACAGTGCGAACCGTGTTAAGGTCTTCTTACAGTCTTACAGTCTTCTCCACTTCAGCAAAGTTCCTGTCAATCCTGCTGGGAGGTGAATCGGAGGTGAATCGTGTTTCCCGTGCTTCCTTTCTTTGTCACCAAAGAGGTGGGCGAATGCCTTGGCACCACGCTCTTTGGTCATGTACTTCGGTATGGCTTCCCAAGCAGCCTGTGATGCGCATGGCTGAGGATCTGAGCTCCAGTATCTCCAGTGACAAAGAGAAGAATCATGCAGAAGTCGTCTTAAATTCATCCAAACTTGATGTTTTACTGGCTTTGCCGGAGCGTGGAGAGCAAAAAAGGCTGTAAAACTCTACAGTCACAGAGGAATGAGATGGAACTTAGAACGAACTTAGAACGAACAAGTAGAAATAAAATGAAATAAATAGAAACATTCTGTCCGGAGCAAAGCGCAGAACTTGCGCAATCGCCTGAGTCCACCTGGGGCCCTCTGCGCACGGCTAGCCATGTGTCATGACCTCCAGGGCAAATTTTGGGAGATATCACTGATATCACCATTTTGGGCATTCAATATGTGTGGACTTGCAGTGACTTGCAGCTGAGAACGAGACTTAGCTGCAATGGCGACTTAATCTACTGAAGATTTGAGCACCGGCAAATGTCAGATTGCATCCAGTTCAATACGAATCATGGCTCATGACAGTGTTTGAAGAAAGGATGGGCAATCACAACCTCCAAATGAAGCCTTTCCCATGTATGTCCATTTCCGCTTATGTCCATTTGTGGCCACTTATGTGAATTATTGTCATTTTGCTCCCACCCTTTAGCTTTCTTTTTGGGCTCGTTCGATCTCAAGGTCACTTACGCTTTCTGTCGGCTCACTCTTCCATCATCTTCGCCTGAAACACTTTCAGGAGAATGGCATCTTGGGCAATCTTAAATACTAGTACATTGTAGTACATCCCGTGTTCATTTGTGATGCTTGCATGTCAAAGTTAAAGGACTCGCGAAATGCTTAACATTTCTCTTGTCGTCGCCCAACCTGAGCGGCTGCAATCTTTGCCAAGACCTTCTCCCGTCGGGCTTCAAGGGTAATCTTGTGGCTGCGCGTGTGCTCAGTGCCATCGGATGCCTCGGAAACAGGTGCCAAAGCTTCCAAGAATGATAAGATATGATAAGCTTCCAAGATGGCACAAGATGGCACAAGATGGCACAAGATGGCACTCAATGGGCCTTTTAAACTTGCGACATGCCTGACATAATGTTTAGGTAGAGTGTCTAGACTGTTGGAGTGAGATTCACGTCCTGCCAAACCACAGACCCTATCTTTGATCCTCCCTGCTCTACACGAATGTGAAATTTGATACCCTGCTTCAGAGCAAATAGACTATATATCTGGAAACCAAATCTACTCTCTGTAGCAGTGACTTTGGACGGGATCTGGAAAGATGACGTGATGGGTGGCTTGGAAAACAAATGCCTTCATGGTATCACCATCTCTCTCGTAGCTGATGTCCTGGCACTTCAAGTACTAGAGTGCATCAAAGAATGTCAAAACATATCCAAACGTTTCCAAGCGTGTCGGTATGTGCCGGTGTAGAGTGTGAAATGCCAGGGCAAAGAATGGTAACATGTTAGTAACAAGATGTTTACAATGTAACAAGAGTCTTGAGTCTGTTGAGTCTGTTGAGTCTGTTAGTGTCCGGTGTATCGAATGCAAACATTCTTCGGTCCTTCTTCTCTGCTGGTTCGCCTGTTGGATCCTTGCGGATCTTCTCGTGCGCCTCCGTGTACATGTCCTGTTTGCAAGTTTTCAAATGCAAACACAAGCGGCAAGCGTTCATTATTATTCATTGCCATCCAACAGTTGCAGGGAATGCTTTGTTGAAGATACAGGTGAACATTGCGTTGTAGCTGATGGGTATGGTCCTCCATCTTGTCTGGTTCGATGCCAGCCTCAAGGTACTTTGCAAAGTGAGCCTCGTACTTTGTTGGGTCTTCTTCCTGCAACATCTCCATGTACTCTTTCACCTGAGGGAACAAAGCTATAGGAGAACAAATATGGGCAAACTGCAAATAGCAGAATCAGCAGAAGGATGCAAAAGGCAATTGCAGTGGATTGCCTTGAGCGCAGACTTGCCAGTACTCAATTTGTCTGCTGAATTAAAAGCTATGAAATTGCGGAAATACCTGACCTGAGAACCTGCAAAGAGCGACAGCAGCACCCGTTACGCCACCCTCCGGGAAATTTGCCACAGCCAACTCTAAGTAGCAAGAACCACAGTGGTTGTAGATTATCACTATCTCAGGCTCTGGATAGATAGAACTTCTCTCACAAGCACATCGACAAGAAAGTGAGCGGATAAGGTGCTGGCATGATTGCCGAAAATCTTCTCCTTGTGGGCCTCTGCATCGTACTCCGACTCACCACCTTTCTCATCTGCTGCCTTGAAACCAGGGAAGTTCTTGGCCTTGTGGGGAACATGGAGGCCTCCGTCAACCGCACCTTTCAGTGCTCCCCACATGCGGTGCCCCACACAAGTGCGTCGAATGCCAACATCCAAAATGCACTTGAAAGGCCGTTGCTCATTGTCCTCATCCTCGACGTGATATTCTTCGCCGTCAATCTCTTCCTTCCCTTTGAACTTTTCGTCCAGTCCAAACTTCTTCAAGACACGACGGGCCACCAGGAGTCCGGTGGCGTATGCTGCAGCATAGTTCTTATGCCCAGCAGGGATACCAAAATGAGCCAACTCATTGGAGGCTGCTGCGGCAACAATCACGTCACCTCGCAAGGTGGCGTAAACACACTGGCAAATGACACGCTTGTTGGTGAAGCGAACTACCAATCTGTACTTGCGGTTGTTGAACTTGTTCTTGTCCTGGCGAACCATCTTACGCCTTGCATGGTAGTCGGTCTTGCCCTCACGCCTTCTGCGTTTTTGCACTTGAAATCGCTTGAAGTAAGCAGCGTTCTTCAACACTTTCACAAACGCCATCGTTTACGCAGGGCCGGGCGCGCTCCCTGAAACACGAGCCAATACCTGCAGCAGGACTACTATTCTGTTTTCCATTGTTTTCCTGTGTACGTCTGTGTGTATTTGTGTGAAAAACTTCTTGTATAGATTGTGATGGTTGTGGAATACAACAAAACCCTGTACTTTCTGTATGGAGCGTCGCACCGCGTCCACCTACATGCATTGTTCCCCACTAGTTGCTTTGATAGGGGCTGGGCCACAGGGCGACATGAGACGAGCCAGCCTTGAAACTGTACTTTCGCCATGAGGTTGCTTCAACTATCGATTTGTTCACCCCCTTCAGCTTTAAATTCAACGACAGAGTGCTTGTATGCAAAATGGTCACATGACTACTCCTTTTAAATCTGGGAGAAAGAAAGTTCATATCAATTCAGGGCAGCTAGGCAGCTAGGCCAGCTACATTCGCATCTTTTTCCAGAGCATGCGGTTCTGGAGAAACATAAAATGCAGCGCCGAGAGTTCAAATCGCAGGGCGACCACGTATTCATAGCACCTGTCCAGTATGGTCCAGGATGGTTCGCTCAAAAAGTGTCACTCTCCCACACAGGCTTGGAGCCATTGGACCACGACTCAAGTGAAGTTGCAAAGTTGAATTATTTACTTAGCTGCTTAGCTCCTTGTTTGCACGAGAGTTTCCAGATATCCCATGGAAAACCTGGGCTTCGTGGTAGCAACAGGACAATTTCCTGGCTTCGCACTACAAAAATAACCAACTAGTCCTCTGGCTCTCACAGTTTTTGGCATCGGAAAGAAATAGAAAGAAATGGGGAAATTTAAGGGATGGCAAGTGTCTGCAGAGTCTGAGGTTTGGTTTGTCACAATACTTCAAATTTCAAGTGAACACGAGATCGTCTTACTTTCTCCGGCGCACGCGGCAAACAAATTTGTCTTTTTCCCTAAATGGAACCCTGTGGCATTGGAAGCCATCTCTCTCAACCCCATTCTGCTTGCCATTCACGACACGTGAATTACCATTCACCTCTTCTTCTTTGAACCATTTTCTTTGACGGCTACCTCAGCTACAGTGGTTACACCTGTTCCTTGCCTATCGATACTCTGGACCGACTGGACTGAGTGACGTGGAAGTGACAAACCCCTGAGGCAACAAGAGATATCCCAAACATGACTCAAACCAATGTCAAAGTGGGAGCAGTCCAAAAGTGCGAGAAAGTTGTGCGAGCTCTGCAAACGTCTTCCAGCCAATTCAAAGTTGCTTTGAAATCTGGAGGCAGGATCTACACCGCAAACACTTCCAGGTACAAGTGGCGCTGTACAATCCAAGCAGTTTGCAAGTAAGCGAAATCCATTCACTGCCTCCTGAAAGAGAAAGATGCAATCACTGCAATTAGTGAAGATGGACTCACGGAAGCGATGCCTATGTTCTTGTCCCCTTTCCAAGCAACTGCTTGGCTCCGCAAGTCGGGGACAGGTCACTCGACTGTCAAGACTCAAAATGGCCTTGGTTGAAAAGCCAATTCGTTCCAATTGAGCCGACAAATGCACAGCACAGATACAACCAATACTCCAACCTGCAAGGATTAGATTTGTTTTTTCTAGTTTTGCTTCTTTTCTTTTTTTGTGACTCGGGCACTCAAGTTGAGTACTGCGACAAATTAACTAGGTCAACTAGGTTGCAGTGTACTGACTCCAGCTCATGTAAGCGCAAGAGTTGCAGTCATCCATGGGATCAAGAGACACACCGGTGGCATGTGTGGCCGTGGGTAGAAATTTGAAGAGGGACGAAAAAACTTGTCGTCGAACTCCGTAACGAGCTCCACCTCCAAAAGCAACAACCGAAACCGAAGCAACCGAGTGTCCCGAGTGAAGTCCCGGGTGAAGTCCCGTTGAATTTCGTGACATCGCGCTCCGCTCACTCTCTGCGGCTTCGTTTAAGGCGTTGCTCAAGGGACATCTCTGTGGCCTTGACCTTTGGAGACCTTTGGGGATGTTTTTCTACATGCAAAGAATTGAGGCTGGTTTGTTATACGGTGCATTGGTGTATTGCAACAATTGCACCGGCGTCACTTCTCTCAAGTGCTTTACGGCATGGCGCTATCAGTTTGCACTGATTAAACAAGCCAAGCCTCATGGAGGAGAAAAGCTCTGCAAGTGCGTCAGTTTACTTCACACTTGCTTTTTGATGGATAGAACTTCGAAGGGAAGAAATGTGAGGCAGGCAACATTTTGCCGAGCTTCAGCATCATTATTTCTTGTTTGTATCCCCTACCTACATTTTGACCGTGTGCTCAGCTTTGGCCTCTGGAATCTCTGGAACCTTCTTACCCAGTGACTTTTGACCTGGATTCCTCCTGGCAAATCAAATTGAATCTCCACCAAAAGGCCGTTGGAAGTTTGGGCACTTGGGGATGCCAATCAGCTGTGACTCAACGCTGTCAATTCAGAGGCGAGCGTTGCGGACCTTGAAGAATTGCGGCAATCGCAAATTCCTGTCCATTGATGTCTACGGAACATGTACAGACTTTTGCCCTCTGTAAACAAACATGCGAAAATTGTTGTTATAAACCGGGAAAAAGAAGGATGAACACGATGAACACGATGCACAACAAGCAGAACACGCACACCCTGGGTCAAAGATTGACTTAGATGCTTCGGATTTGTCGGCATGCCGCGGCCGTTTTGTTGCAAATCCTGCATCAGCCACCCACACCGTTGCTGGTCTTTTCATATGCCTCTTCAATTGACCCAGTGAGACTTTCTTCGTCACCTTGATGTCATCAAATTGGACTGGGCTTCTGAAAGCAACCCACGAAACGAGGAAGCGACGCCAAACAAGTTGTCAGTTCACATGCAATGGAATTTCCAATTCTGAGCGACAAGCACACTCCAATGCCGGAAAATCTCAAACCGTTCTCTGGACTGATATGCAAGAATGATGATTCTGATAGCAGTTTAAAAAGAAAAGTCGCTGACTTCGTTTTAGGAGCACGAGCAAGCTTTGCAAATGCATTTCCAACATGACCAAGCTGAGGAGTACGCGGCTTCTGTTGCTCTTTGTCAAGATATTGGGATGTTGTTTTCTGACTCTTGCGCTTCTTGTGCAAAAACAATCGACGCATGAGGCACTTTTGTTGCTCCTGATGTGCGTCTCAAAAGTGAGGTCTAGTTCTTCTGCTTAAGCGACAGACAACGAGACTCGATGGCATCTATGGTGCAAAGTTGCCGACATTTCCAAGTTCAGTCCGTACCGTACACGCTTTGCTACCCATCGATATGCCGTGCAGAGGCAGCAACAGTGGCATCCTTTGGAAGTCTCCTTTGAGGGAAGATTCAATTTGTCAAAAAAGCTTAGGGTCAACAAAAATACATGTTGCTTTCTCACTGCTTGGTCCTTCTGATATCAAGGGATAACTTGAACGTGTTTCTTTGCAGAGCCAACCCTTCCTCTTTAGCACTGCTCGGTTTTTTGCCAGGGTCGACGCTTGATACGTAGTTGAGCAATCTGATGACAAAGTATTTTACTTATCCACAAGTAGTTCACTTGCCTGTGATGCTGGAACATAAACCTGAATTCCACCGGTCTGTGAAATATGCAAGAACCAGGATGTATCTTTGACTCCAGGAATACTGGTCTGCAGCTCAAGGCCTCCCAACACATTCGCGATTTGCGACATGCAGTCACACTGATTGAATTTAAAGCGTGCGAATCTGTAGGTCTAGTCACAATCACAGCAATCTTTTCAATTGAATCAGGAAGCTGTTATCTTTGCATTGTGACCACCACAATAGGGTGTAGACTTTTCCTTTTCTTTTTTCTTCATTCTCGCAGTCCTTTTTCCTCCAAGGCTTCAAGTCAACTTACAGTGTTGCGTTCAACGCATCTCACAGGATGGCATTAGACCTTTTAGTACACCACACAGGCAAATCACGACAAGGCAGACTTTTAAGTCTCAAAGTCTCAAAGAGTTCAAATTGACATCGCATGGAACCCGCACTGAGTTCTCAAAATTCTCAAAGTCTGAGTCCAAAGATATGGTTGATGGCATCCAGCGCCTGAAAATCTATCAGGTTATAAGCTCATCTTTATCCAACATCCATGAACATCCTATAGATCTGGAGGTGATCCTTACTAAGTCTCTTTGGGGATGCAACGTGGAGAACAGGGAGCAGGTGCAGCAGGGGGGTCCAAAGAAGAATTGCAAAGAAGAACAAAATTTGAAACAAAACGGCAAAAAAAATGAAGTGTTGAAAAGGAGACAGCCATTAATATTGACTGTCTTCATCTCTTCACTGGCCAAACTTTGGGGATCTTTTTTGGAACTTCTGCACATAGCTTTGAAAGCATGAACAGATAGTAAAGGTGTTGCAGCAGGTATCAAGCAAAAGGCAAGAAGGTCACAGGTCCTGCAAAGAAACAAGAATGTCCAAGTAAAGAAACATTAGGACGAAGAGCTCTGATCAGGTGCCTTCTATGTATGCGCGAAGCAAAGCTGCACACCACAGTTCAAATGAAGGTTGTTACCTCAATGGATTACACATTCGCAGAAGCCACCAGGTGACAGAGTGTCAAAAAATCTCAAGAGGATCTTCTCTCTGTGCCACTGTGGACAGTCGTCTTCCTGCAATTTACAGCACAAGACATAAGTCTTCCGCGTGCCTGGCGTGCCTGACATTTAGCCTGAAGATAGAACTGGAAGGAAAGAAGAGGCATATGACCTGTCGTTTGACAAGAGAAAAAAAATCTCTCGCGGAAAGAGCACTGCAAGATGCTTGCAGATGCGTTAGCTGGTCTATCTTTTTCGGTCTGGTAACTTGGCTTCAGATAATTCACAGGTGCATGCAGCGCTTCATCTCAAAGCAAATCAACGGGGTTAAACGGGTTAAAGCACACAAGTTGACAAATCATCCTTACACACCAGCAGTTCTGGATCTATCTGATCTATCTGTACATGGCTTTGCTTTTCCTTTCTTTCCTTTCTTTCCTTTCTGGTCAATCAAAGATCGGCATTGTGCAGTGTCTTCCACGGAGATTTTGGGGCTCACACTAGCAGTCACCAGCAGAATCGAAACATTCGCATTTAAATAATTTACTGAGTAACACTTGTCAACTCATGCGCAATACAAATATGAAAGGAATCTACCCAATGCTTACCTTGGCTTAAAGTGCCTAAAACCTCAAAGGTACTGCTTGAATGACACCAAGGAGTGCTGTATCGATGCTTGCCACTAAGTTTACTGGACGTCTTGGTTGCTTAAGTCAGTGGACAATCCGATACACGGAAATTCTGCATTAGGTGGCAGTGTGCAATGTGTACATCTTTGCCAAGCTTCGAGGTTGCCAGTACAGTCAGTCGTACAAGGCAAAGGTCTCAAAGACCTCTGTTGACTTACAATGTCGACCAAGTCAACTGAGCTCTCTGTCGGATAAGAGCTTCAAGCATCTTCAAGTGCCTTTGGATTGGTTACGTCCCATGAATTCAAGTCTCACTGAAATCAAGAAGAGAACATCGTCACAAGGTCCTTGAAATTGTCACAAGCGACAAGTAGCAGGCCCTTTATCAAAACAGGCTTTGGGATTGCAAAAGCGAGGTTTCACTCGCTGTGTCATGATAAGGATTTTTGAACACTGGAATCGCCGGGTATGGGTCAATCTTTCTTCAGGAAGCAAAGCACTGCCTAAGCACTGCCTAAGCACTGCCTAAGCACTGCAAATCCTGCACTAAATGAGTTGTGAGCCGTCAGCGCCTCAGAGTCCACATCGGTTGACAAACAGCACCAAGCGCTATCAGAGCTGCTAACAACCCGCAACATGGCAGTCAAGTTGACAGCAAGGGGTGTCAGGCGGGGAGCAATGCGCTGCTTGATGGTTAACCCTGTCTTGTATTGTCATGTGAGTCATGTGCACGGGACAATGGTCGAATAGACTATTTGCAGGCTATTCGCTGCGAACAGACTACTGTAAAACATTGGTCAATTGCCGCATTTGCTTCCGGCACATTGGGCTGCAATCTGCAGCGCAAGGTGCAAGAGAGTTGGCATGGTATGTCGGACAAAAGACTCTTGACATGAAACGGTTCTCTTTGCTGAGAATGGTCTTTAGATGTCTTTAGGGACACTATCATGATGTCTGATGCAAGACGTTCAAAACTCCACGTTATGGTTGCCAGGCCTTTAAGACTGCTACGTACTTGGCTGGCCTTCTATTCTAAAGAACAGGCTGGTTTCCATCATGCAGTATCGGTTGCGGTAAGTACCAACACTTTAAAAAGCAAAGGTCCATGAACTGTTGGGCAGTTTTGTCACGAGCAACATCTTAAGCCAATTATTTCTAGACCTTTACAAAGATAAGTAGCCCATGCGCTCTGTTTCAAACAGAAGGATTTGAATTGTTGGGCATCCAAATGTCAGCCAGTAAACAGCTAAGGCTGGGGTCCACCAACCTCAGAAGGTTCAGCCTCACAATTTCCAGGCTGTAAAATATCTCTTTTGGGTGCCAGGGAGAAAAGTCATGAACCTCCATTGTATATGACACTGCTTTGTTGGCGACAGTTCCTGTTTGGCAACCGCACTATGTTCAGACCACGGAAGTGACAGTTTTGAACTTGAGTGCATACGCTTTGTCACAGGCTATTTCGGCACGGTGCTTTTTCACTTTTGCCTGGTGTCTTATTTTGCGGAAAACATTGATTAAACTGCTGGGCTCTACCGCAAGCAGGGGCAGGGGCAAGTCCATATTGTAACTATGATAAATGGCTTAATTGGCTCACCTACGACAGTCATCAAAGTCATGCTTCATCTTCTGCAGAAGCAACAGTTGGACACCGTCGTTGCTCCCGCTTTTGACTCAAGATGTCTTGGCCACATCACGTGAATCACGTCTTCAATATTTTTGCACGAATGCAAATTCCATTTGCTCCTTGTTTGATCCGTACAATAGTTTGAACGCAATCATTACTACAATGCATCTGGTGGAACATCCGGTCACTTTCAAGCGGCATTCCTGGTGGATCAAGCAAGTGGAGCATCTTATCTGTCTTAAAGTCCTAGAAATGTTCCAAAGAAAACAGCTTTTTGGTATCTTAGTCACACAATGCCGCAAGGCCAGCGTAGACTGGGCCTTGTTGGTGACTGGGGTGTGTGCCATTTTACCTTTTCAACTGCCTGGCAGATTGGAGTGTCTACAGCAAAGTTTGAGCTTGCTGCGAGCTCATGCGATCATGGATATCTGCTTCAGTTCCGGGGGCAAATCAATAAAACTGACGAACTATCTGAATGTTCATTGCCAACAGCCAAGACTCCTTCGTACCGAGGACTTACCAACGCATCAAGGAATCAACATGAATTGACAATGGAGACAGCTTGGAACATCTTGGCCATCTCATAAAGCCAAGGTGTATGTAATGCGGCATTCATTCGTATGGCAAGGCCGACCTGAGAAAAAACATAACAAAGAAATGTCTGCTGCCAAACTATTTGAGACCAGTAGTGACTCCGGTGACTGCTGGGGTGCAATCTGCCCTGAAGCTGCGAAATTCAGGTCAAAAAAAGCCTTGTTGACTCCAAGAGCACGTGAACACAAAACTGCAAGAGCGAGCGGCTTATGACTCATGTACTGTATTTGAATCTTGGGACTTTGTGTATCCGTGGTACAAGTTGGTGCTGGCTTGCATTGCACAACCTGCCGACTAGTTCAGGATTTGAGATGTCGACTTGGTCTTGCTTAAGGAGCCAAAGGAGCCAAAGGAACCAATCGCATCCAGAGGCATCAGTTTTACGGCCCACTTATTCAGCTAGATATAGCTAGATTCAGCTAGTATGCAGAGGTCTGGTTCTATGGGCCTTCAGGCCTTTCTGTGAAATCAGATTGCTCTGAGAACTCCAGTGCTTTGGACACATCCAACCTGGTTAACAAAACCTGTACGATTTGGAAAGATGTTGTGTGAAACGGCAACCACAAGCAATGAACAGCCGCGTCCATCAAGTCTCTCATGGCTCAATATCAGCGGGACAGCTTGCACCTGCAGGAAAAGTATGTCTTATGCTTAAATGTCGTAGACTCGATGCACAATAATAGACAATGCCAATTAAGCACAATGTTCATGTTGGTTGCCTTCATGACTGGTCCTGGGCTACACGCAGTCTGTCGACCACACTTTCTTCCTGTTGTTACTTGATCCTCCCGTAGCCGCCGTAGCCACATTTGTGCTTGGCCTGTGTTCTCTGAGAACTGAAGCAACTGAACTGCTGATATGCCTGATATGCAAACTTAAAATTGATGTCTGTGAAGCCCAGTCTGAGCTGAGAGGTAAAAGTCACTACCCAAGGCACAGTAGAGCACATGAATTGCAAGCCATTACGGAGTGAAATGCTCTCCTAGAAAAAAAAAACTGATCAAAAACTTGAGTTTCCCTTTGTCATGCTTAACTTGACCAGTCTCAAGAATGCAGTGTCAGTCTTTGTTTGGTTTGTCTTTGCCTCGACCAGCAAGGGTACTGCTTGGATAAAAGGATAGTAATATGAAAGTAATATGAAAGTAATATGATATCATGATGGGCTTTCAATGGGTTCTATAGTTCTTCCTGCAGGACCACTTTTTCACCTCGCAAAGCGCTTGAAGCTTGGACCATCAACATCTGCAGGAGCGGATCCTGAGCAACGCATTGAATGCAGGAAATCCCAACGCCCTTGGCCCTAAGCTTCCAGAGCATACACTGAGTATTGGAGGCTCAATGTCGGATCACAAGCAACAACTGCTGGAAAGCACTTCAAGTCCATTCATACCCGTGGTTTTCTGCTGCTTACAGTAATTGACAAAGACATGTCTGGGGTATGTCGGTGCTATTGTCACACACTATCATACACTCACATTGGCGGAATGAAATATTGATGCATGCCCACTCAAGACCCTTTGGCTTTTGACATCACGCTGTGTGAATTGAAGACAGCGTCGAGAACTTTGAGTACAAGTTGCGGCAAAATACACTTTGAACTGGCAGGTTCGTGTCACTTTTCTTGATGATAGTCGACCTTCTGGGAAAACATCACCTTCACCCTCTGAATACATCTTCATGTTTGTGGCAGTTCAAACGTGTCATATCTGGAATCCAGGTTAGTCTTGCCTGTTTTGTTCATACGTGAAACGGCCTGTTCTATTCCCTAATACTTCTACTTATTCTTCTACTTATTCTTCTTCTTCTTCTTCTTCTTCATCCTGCCACATTGGTCTAGATCGTACAGATTTTCTGATGTGAAAGAACACTTCACCAGCAGCGTGGCACCGGGTCAAATTCATTTCTGCTTTGACTTGACGCGTGACTTGACAGGCCCTTCATAATGTGTCAGAAATTGTCAAATAGAAAAGCACCAGCACTGAAAAATTACAGCAGTGGATATAGTCACAAACATCATAAGAATCATAACTATAACCATCAAAATTGCCCGCCACAATCATGCAGGTCGGCGGCAAGAAGAAGAAGAAGCAGAAGAAGAAGAAGAGAAAAAAAAATACGACAAGAACCAGAAGACCATCAATAGTGACAACGCCCCCTGTGGTCCATCTTTGAAGCGCTGCTTCTCATCGGCGCGCCGCCTTCATTTATTTCTCAGTGTTTGTTCTAACTTTGAAATACTAAGCTGACAAAACATTGGGGGATTGTTTGGTCTCTAACAGTTTGACGTTTCGGGGTTGTGCAGTTGTGCAGTTGTGCAATTCACAAACAACACATCCTCGGATCCCTTGATCTTCGGACATCTGTATCCATTCTAACGGAGGCTTGTGAAGGTATCGAGTCCCAATCAACAACAATGATAACAATAAACAATGATACTGATCATGCTATTAATGATAGTACATAATGATGATGATAAACACCCCCTCAGTACTAGCGAACACTATCATCAAGTCTTTTGCTTTCTACCCTTTCTATTCTGTATGTGCGTGCGTCCCTCCATCTGTCTGTCTCTGTCTGTCTGCCTGCCTGCCTGCCTGTCTGTCTGTCTGTCTGTCCATGTCTTTGGTTTTCCTGTTTGTTTTCAGCACCTGGCTGAGTTAAACAAACTACACCGTGCTTGAGGAGGTTCTGGACTTTGTGTCTGTGATACTTCCGAGCTTCTTAAATCACTTATGCAGTACGATGCCGAAAAAGAGCTCCCCTTTATATAAACGGAATTCTGTGGTCACGCGTTCTGGCTTCCGATTTGGCCTCAAGGGTCTGCAACTATTCCCGTCCAGTTCTCAGAACTTGAAAGCATGTTGCAAAAAAAAATCTGGGAACGGGGCTTTTGCCTTGAATGAAGTCCAAGGCTGTCTGGACGTTCATCCCAGACCTACAAACTGTAATTCCAGTGGCTCAGCAGTGGCCAAAAATATCAAGCAATTGATGTGCGCTGCGAGCCTTGAGAGACTTGTCATGTAAACTTGCTTCTTCTGCTGCAGCTCCTCTTGGGCTGGAGATTGGATCAACCTATTTCATACGTATCAATACCAAATACATGTCTGAATCATTACTGTATATGATATGTAAGCAAACAAGCCGAGACTATGACACAGTAAGGGATTGAAGTAGTGTCACAGAGGTACATCCTTGCCTGCTTCAAACGCGTCACCTCATTCAGCTTCTGAACATCGCAGGCGCGAACCTGCAAATCTGTATTTGAATCTAGTTGGGAGCAAAATAAATGAACAACTTCAAGACAATGTTGGAAGGGACAGGCCCTCTAGAAAGGAATGCAGCAGGAAAATTCAAGTACAAAGTACAAACTCCTCTTGTTCCCTAGTCCTCTTCGCACGGCAAGGCTCTTAAATCATCCACTGCAACCTCTTACTGGTAGTGCTCGGAGTGCAAGTCCAAGGTAAAGCAGAGTTGTACTTCTGTCCCACAGTGCCTCTCCCTTCTTATTGAAGCCGACCGAGAAGACAACGGTGTCACCAATTCTGGCTCCCTCACAAGCTGCTCATCGCAAAACAAGCATGAAGGGCTACCAGTCAGAAGACTCTGCGGGGTGCTACAGACATTCCCTAACAATGAAAGCGTTTGTGCCACAAGAATCCGTGCAGAAATGTGCAAAAGAGTATACCATCTGAATCTGACCCGTTTCTGGTATGGAATCAACCGTATGGCATGATGGTCGAAGATCAAACGCCATGACCTGTTGGGCACAAAAAAACACAGGGAAACCTGGGGAAACCAAAACACAAACCAGGCCTCACAGTGTGCTTCCCGCCAAGAAATTTACAAGCCAACATTGTGCTTCCCAAGTCAGGTGAGACAATTCGTAGAAGAAACCGCGAGACAACCAACACAGGATTCGGCACTTTTGACAGAAGAGTCGACGGTCAGTATGTCAGTACACAGGATACAATGTTTTACAGCAAGGCCTTTGCTCAAACCCAAATTTCACTCAAAAGTGAATGATATTCAATTTTCAAATGGGTTCAAAAAAGGTTGTTGAACCCATGCGGCCTGGTAGGACTCTCGGTCGATGAAAATGTCGCGTCCAAAACGCTTGAAAGTCTCGGGACATGAAACGAAGCCATAGCCCTTCAGCGTGTCAAACTTCGAGATCAACCCAACATAATGGTGTGACCTTGCAGCGTCAGGGAGAGGGGATCTGAGTGTGGTTTGGGGCAACTGCTCCCATTATTTTTAGGCCTACATGTTTACACATACAAACAAAAAGTTTAAACTATGAGATGCTATGCTTCACAACACTTCGAACAATTTCGTCCGCCCCCAACAAAATCAGGCCAAACAAAAATACTAGTAGGTGAAGAAATATCATCAATATTATTAGTACTGGAGATGTGGGAGGTATTGCTACATTCATGTCAAACATGTTTCTTTCGAGTAAAGTTGTTTGACTTCGTACTTTTCTAACACCAGCCTTTGGGCCAATGGCATCTGCTTGGAAGCTCCTGTTTTGGAGAAAGGCTTTACCCAGAAGTGCAAGTGCAAATTGCAACGCACAATTGCACAGCCAAACAAGAAAAAAACTTAAGCATGGCAAAGCTAGGAAATGCTGTGTAGCAGCCCTTTCCTGAAGGCCCAAAGAGGGAACAAAAAAACACAAGTAATTTTACTGGAGTTATCTAAATATGTGTAAATATGTCATATACAGGTTTCATTGGTACCACTGGAAATGAAAGGAACCAAACAAATTTGAAGATAGTAGGGCGGCAATCCCTACACTGTGTTTGTGTGTCAGTGTCTTTCAATTGGGGAAGCAAAATTAGCGATATCAGAGGTGAAACGATCTTCTGAGACTGAAAGAGGGGAGCTGAAAAAAGCGGCCGAAGTGAAATGTGCCAGGTCAAAAAGACTCCCGGAGGGACTTCATGGGACTTCAATGAGGAAAACATATTGAACTCGCAACAAACATAAACCAAATGAATTCACCCGGTGTACGTCCCGCTTTCTGGGGCAATCTGGGACGACGGCTGTGAAGCTGCTCGCTTCACCTTCTCTTCTGCTTCTTTCACTTTGTCCTCCAGCTGATTCATCTCCGCAAGTGCTTTGCTTGCATCAGTGCCTCAACAAACACATCTCAACCACACGTACTTTATATATATATATAACTTGTTTGTCCTTTCTCTGCATATTTCGTTACATGATTGCTGACAGTGGGAGACTTGTATCTGTGCACTTTCAACGTGTACATGTGTTACAATATTCCTTTGGTCTAGGGTGTAGCGCCCGTAGATACAAACTCAAAACAGACGCATTATGTGTATATTATACTTGTGTGTATTCACTATACTTTCCTCCCTCTTAGAAGTGCTCTTCACTGGTGTTGTAGATTGTAGAGTGTCAGAAAGGACACCCAAGCCGCAATGTTGCAAACATGCAAACACCAAAGGGCATCCTGACCTTTCGCTGGCTTCCCACCACCAAATTGAACCAACACAGCTCCGAACATGGTTTTACAGTAAAAAGTGAAAACATCTCAAACTACAAAGCAATATACAGAGCGACAGCCACCATGGACATCTATGAAACTTGTAGAAGACTACTTGGACCACTTGTGCAGTTATGGGTGTCATATGGGTGTCCCTCTGCATTTTGTAGGACGGCTAAGGCGGCTAGGGCGCTTTGAAGCCCCTGACCGCCACCAATCGATGCTGAAGACCTGGCAGAAAAACTGTCGTTTGAAGCAATGACACAAACATCACAATCACAAATAATCACAAAGCAATTTGCCAAATTTGCAACCCAAATATGTCAATCTAAATCAGAGTAGCTGACATCACAAGAATCGAAAAAACGATTATATTGACGGTGTTGGTAACCCACACCATGATACTGTGAGTGTATAGCTCGCCGTCAAGTCATGATTTCCAGGATAATATGCGGAAATCTGGCAAAAGTTGACCCAACGTGCCCGCTTGCAGGATGAATGAAGAACACACTCATGTATGTGTTGTATGTGTTGATACCACAGACAATCATCTCTGAGATTCTCTGAGAACATAATTGTGCGCAACAGTGTTCATTCTCACTCACAAGCGCCCCCACTCAAGAAAAAAGGCTTACAACAACATGTTGGAGTATGTGGTCTGCGCAACTCCAGTTTGATGCGTTCTATATGTAGGCAGACAATTGCCCTTTATTATTGACATCAGACCTCAAGCATGAGCTACAATGCCCCTTAACCTCTAGAGGTTTGCGTTCAGGAAGGTCAGGAAGACAAACAAACAACAGAAACAGCGAACCCAGCTGTTAAGATGCGGCTGGCTGAAGACGTTTGAAAGCATGCTCAAGGTCATGCTAAGCCATCAATCCAAATTCCGTGAACCTATTCACTTGGAATAGCACTTTGAAAGAAATGTTACTGTTAAAAGCTCAAACATGTATGCTCATGGTCGAACCGTGCTTGAAGAAATTGTCTGCAATTGATCCATGATCAACAAGAACACTGACCAAACTGCTGCATCAGGACATCCACATCATCGTCATCGTCGTCATCATCAGCAGGAACATCTGTAGGACACTTTACAATTTCATCATCATTATACTAAAGTTGCCTCATGAAACTGAAAGCAGACTCACTCTAGGACACCCAAGAGCTATCAAAAAGAAACTCTTGAAAAAATGACATGGACACTGCCACCCATGCTGCCGACACCACCCAGCCGCTGCCACACTGCAACATGAAAAGAAAGAATTTTGAAATCACGCGATCGCCGCGATCAGCCATTGCTGAGGCACGTCTGGGACACGGCCACAAACACAACCCAGACACAAATCACAAATGCGGAGAGATCTGATCCTAGAACTGAGACCCCATCTGTTCGATGACATGACTATACAGATATAGCAGAAACTACTTGTCACCGACGTATAAGATATCATATCATCATGCAATTGAGGACAGCTACCTGGAAAACTCCTGTATTTGCCACAAAACAAGGTGTGCAGGACTCTTCTGGTCACAAGCGGCTGAGACATCCGCAACAAACAACTACAGTAGAGCACCATGCTCGGCACGACACGGACATGGTGAAATGAACTGAGTGCAGCACAGCTTGAACAGCAACCACCAACAAACATAACATACACATTCGTCGCAACGACTAGAAAAAAAAAGAATCACAAGAGGAGGATACCATGTCCTACCAGATCAAAGGGCTCCACCATGACAGGACAACATCATTACCAGCATCATTAAGGGTGACCAGAGCACAGCCAGTCGCAACCAGCACAAGCAAGACATTGCCGCACAAAAAAACTTGGCACCAGGGCACCACAAAAAGTGCTGTGTGAGTAGTAAGAAGTACATGGTGATCCTTTTTTGTTCATCTGGAAACGGCCATTCTTAGTGGGAAAAAAGCCTTTCGCAAGACTTTCGCGAATCCAGTTGTTTTTTCGCGGGACCCAAAGGCTCAGTCGTTACCTGCCTGACTATCATAGATGGTTCATGATGGTTCCATCATAGCCTTGTAAACATGCAGCTAGCATCACAGAATCCCTCTCACAACAAATGATTACTTATTGGGTATGGAGTTGTAAGGCTTAACGGGCCACCCCGTTCAAAATGCGCTTTCACTTTCGCCCCGCTCCTTCACGTAACTTTCGCGGATTTTCGTGTAAAAAATTTCTTTTGAGTTGTCTACGTGCATCATGATTCATAATATCTAAGTTTTGCGAAGCTTTTCTGAACTCAAAAACAAAAACGTACGGGAAGGTTCGAAACATAACATGAACGGTCTTTGCAATCATAAATCTTTACGCAAACTTTAGAACGATCGCGAGTGGCAAGAGTGGCAATTCAGACTCCGCACCCTGCATCATAGCCATTCACCAGCATCTGCTGATACCTGAGAAAATACGCAACCGAACTTACAAACTCATTCCCGCCTGAAACTGTTGCAAACTAGCTTTATGTCATTTGTCCATCAGCATTAATATCAGTATTTACAGTATCCGTTTCATTTGCCCACTTTCTACCTGCATACCTGGCAGACAAAACGGAATCAGGTGCTCAATGTTGCCATTCATCATGCCGTGATTCTTACGAATGTGCTGTCTGTTGTCAAGCTGCTGCTGCATGTACAGCAATTGCTGCTGGATTGATGTAGATGTTCCTGCAAGAGCGCTTGGCTCCTTCGCGCACTTCAGTTACTTGCTGGCTAAATGGTCCAACTGCATACTCAACCTACTTCGGACTAAATGCTCAAAGTTGTTTTGCAACCTGAGGTCAAACAACCGAAAAAAAAAAATGCAAGACTCCTCCAAGGAAAGCGGCACAGCCTGAGGATTACTTGTGGCAGCACAACGCTCATCTCTCACCACCCACCAGGATTTGCCACCAGGATTTGTCACATGTCACAATGTGCAAAGTGCCCGGCCGGCTGCGAAGAAACCGCCGAGGTCGCTGTCACGCTTTGAGCAGTGAGGAGGTTCCCCTGGGAAACAGGGTGTGGTCAATGGTCAACACCTCTGCATGCTACACAAGTGGCGAAGTATCTCATTTTGTATCTTCACGAGGTGCAAAAAGCACCACTCAATAGCGTCTCTTGCAGCAAAATCCATCGTGCCTGCGGCACTGATGGAAAATGTGCCATACCAGCATGCTGATTGCCACAAGCTGCCTGACACTGTCTTTCACTTGGAGAGACCAAAACAGTTTCTGACAATGGCACAACTTGGATGCCTCAAAAGCATTTTTTGGCAAGTATGAAGAACTCAGCTCGGACATTCATGGCATATGTGTTGCAAAGAGTGTCTGTGTGTGTGTGTGCATGTTCGTGCGCCTGCGTGGTTGAAGGTAACACACGCTACAATGTACATGCTCAGAGAGAGAGAGAGAGAGAGTCTGCTTCTCAGGAAGAACTGTACGTTGTGGCTGGCATTCTGAGACATAGCCAGCTTTCAGAACTACGTCATCGTGCTTCGATCTTACTCTAGTCAAGGGGATACAGAAAGGACAAATCCGTTTGCTGACAAATGCGATATTTCGTTGGTTCACAACTGCACATTTGTCTGTAACGCGACATGCACGGATCCATGTCAAGATATTATTCTTGTTCCGTCCATGCTCAATGCGTGCATAGCACGACTGTGTTTACTCTGAGGCGAAGCCATTGCTGGGCGCTAGGGTTGGAAAGGGGAGTGAAATGACTACATAGAAGCTCAGCTGTCAGTGTCTGCGCGCTGCCATTGTGTTTTACGCTTCAGGGTCCTAAAAGCACACTACTATGGGATTAAATATTAAAACATATTAAAACTGTAAGTTTGCATGTTCCATTTGTTTACTTCATTTTCATGTGCACCCGTATTCAAACACACTCGGTGGTATTCACTGTGTTGTTGCTTGTGAAATAAAACTGCGGTGTATCTGCGAGGCAAAAAGGGAAAGTCCGGTGAAATGTTCTCCTTACTTTCGCGCCACATCCGAGCACCAGACGCCAGAGGTGCCACCAAGCAAGGCCTCACAATCTAATCAAAATGGAACAACAACTTATACTGAACTTTCCATATGCTCACCTTCAAGCTTGGCAAAAATGTATAGAAAAATGCAGACAGCCTGCGCTGGGAACCCACTCTCAGGAATGGCATTGGTAGCAACCTGTAGTTGAAAGGTGAAGCATGTGAGTGCAGATCACACGAATGAAATGACTGTACTCAACAACTCTCAAAAGCCTGGAAAAAGGGAGACTTTGCTGCCAGTTTCTTCGGTATTTCAATTCCAAGGAACCGGAAAGCTGCTGGGGCAGCTCGGGCCAGCGGAGCAGCCATGTGTTGCCTGGGGTGCCTGGTTCAGTCGGTCATTTTGCACACACTGCAAAGGGATGAAACAGAAAACCCATTTTTTTAACCTGATTCAGCTTTCACTGTGCTCAAAACCTATGTTCTGCACTCTTCTCCAGAAAAAATGAAACTCAGTCTATCTTAAAGCAGTGCATGAGCATGGATTGAATGCATTCATCATCGTTTCGGTCTATCGGACATCGGATTTTGTGAGCAATGCAGAGATACTTCATTTTGCATTGATTACATCGCGTTATCAGAAATATGTTGCCTAGCCGTCTAGCAGACAATATGCTTTGTCTGTTTGCAGAAAGAACCACTTCAGTTACTCTCAAATCTCAGCATGTTAAATCTTTGGCTGAGTGTCATAAAGACACGTGCCCAGTTTCAGCTGCCAACGCTTTAATCATCAGGAAAAAACACATCAACCTGAATCTACCTCATCTACCTGGCAACTGAGTGGTCCTGTATGTTTGCAATTAAAGCCAAACTGGCAAGTTCACAAACAAATCATGCCTGTGGCATTGACGGAAAGTGCGCCAAGCCAGTAGGTTGATTGACACAAGCTGCCTGAGAAACTGTCCATTTCAATGGGAGCTTTCCCCGGCTTTACCTCCACGTTCATATGACACCAAGTAAAGTCTGTAGACCCAAAGGAGACCACTCAAGTCTGATTCCTCACATGCTGCTACACAGAAAACAACCTAACCATTAAGCATGTGAGATTTGCAATTGTGCAGCGTTAACCACCCTGCTTCAGCATTCGCAAGGCATCCACCAGGTACAGTTGTTTTCGTTGTGTGAAATAAAACTGCGGTGTATCTGCGAGGCAAAAAGGGAAAGTCCGGTGAAATGTTCTCCTTACTTTCGCGCCACATCCGAGCACCAGACGCCAGAGGTGCCACCAAGCAAGGCCTCACAATCTAATCAAAATGGAACAACAACTTATACTGAACTTTCCATATGCTCACCTTCAAGCTTGGCAAAAATGTATAGAAAAATGCAGACAGCCTGCGCTGGGAACCCACTCTCAGGAATGGCATTGGTAGCAACCTGTAGTTGAAAGGTGAAGCATGTGAGTGCAGATCACACGAATGAAATGACTGTACTCAACAACTCTCAAAAGCCTGGAAAAAGGGAGACTTTGCTGCCAGTTTCTTCGGTATTTCAATTCCAAGGAACCGGAAAGCTGCTGGGGCAGCTCGGGCCAGCGGAGCAGCCATGTGTTGCCTGGGGTGCCTGGTTCAGTCTGTCATTTTGCACACACTGCAAAGGGATGAAACACTGCCAGAAAACCTGCGTGGAAACAAGAACTCCGTTACACACAGAAAACAGTTTCGAGGAAGTCAACAAAGTTCAACAAAGCAACTCAAGATGTGTGGGTGTTGGGACCCGGAAATGCTGTCAATCAGCAGAGAAAAGTGTTCAATGTTGTTCAAGCAATGCTATGAAAATGATTCCAATCGCAGCAACAGTAGTGGCCAGAAACCATGGTAGGAATATGCAAAATTGACCCGGTTTTGCATCCCAACGGCATGAACCGCAACAAAGACCTCGTTACCGTTCCTGTTTCGTCCCTTCGATCGGCACATGGAAACCGTATCACTAAACACATCCATGCGTGAAGTTGCTGCACGTGTTTTAGTTTGATGCACGGCACCCTGCACCTACAGATACGAACCCAATAACATATGCAATTTTCTGCTGTTGCCAAATAATATCATGAGGAGTGAACGATGTTTGCACTCAACAAAAAAACAAGATGCAGTCCACGAACCCGAATGCTCACACGAATGTTAATGGTACAGATGTCGAAACACATGGATATGCAGTCACGCAGAACACTTTTTTGAAACTGTTTATTTGAACAGTTTTGTACATTTTTCCCCTGTTACCATACCAGCGCACCGTAGAGTGGAGTGTAGAATCTGAAGGTAAAGTATGGAGTGTAAAGTGTGAAGTGCCAAGTGTAAAGTGTGGAGTGTGGAGCGTAGAGTGTAAAGTGTAAAGTGTGGAGTGTAAAGCGCAGAGTGTGGAGTGTAAAGTGTGGAGTGCAAAGTGTAGAGTGTGGAGTGTGGAGTGAGGAGTGTAAAGTAAGGAGTGTGGAGTGTGGAGTATGCAGTGGGTAAAGTGTGGAGTGTGGAGTGTAAAGTGTAGAGTGTGGAGTGTGGAGTGAGGAGTGTAGAGTGTGGAGTGCGGAGTGTACAGTGAAAAGTGTAAAGTGTAAAGTGTGGAGTGTAGAGTGTAAAGTGTGGAATGTAAAGTGTAGAGTGTAAAGTGTAGAGTGTAGAGTTTGGAGTGTAAAGTGTGGAGTGTAAAGTGTGGAGTGTGGGATGTAAAGTGTGGAGTGTGGAGTGTAAAATGTAAAGTGTGCAGTGTGGAGTGTAAAGTGTGGAGTGTAAAGTGTGGAGTGTAAAATGTAAAGTGTAAAGTGTGGAGTGTCGAGTGTAAAGTGTGGAGTGTAAAATGTAAAGTGTGGAGTGTAAAGTGTGGAGTGTAAAATGTAAAGTGTAAAGTGTGGAGTGTAAAATGTAAAGTGTGGAGTGTGGAGTGTAAAGTGTGGAGTGTGGAGTGCGGAGTGCGAGGTGGAGAGTGTAGAGTGTGGAGTGCGGAGTGTGAAGTAAGGAGTGTGGAGTGTAAAGTGCGGAGTGTAAAGTGTGGAGTGTGGAGTGTGGGGTGTAAAGTAAGGAGTGTGGAGTGTAAAGTGTGGAGTGTGCAGTGGGTAAAGTGTGGAGTGTGGAGTGTAGAGTGTGGAGTGTGGACTGTAGAGTGTGGAGTGTAAAGTGTGGAGTTTCAAGTGTAGAGTGTGGAGAGTGAAGTGTAGAGCGCGTAAAGTGTAGAGTGTGGAGTGTGGAGTGTAAAGTGCAGAGTGTGGAGTGTAGAGTGTAAAGTTTGGAGCGTGCAGTGTGGAGTGTAGAGTGTCAAGTGTGGAGTGTAAAGCGTAGAGTGTAAAGTGTAAAGTGTAGAGTGTAAAGTGTGGAATGTAAAGTGTGGGGTGTAAAGTGTGGAGTGTAAAGTGTAAAGTGTGGAGTGAGGAGTGTAAAGTGTGGAGTGTGGAGTGTACAGTGTAATGTGTGGAGTGTAAAGTGTACAGTGGGGAGTGTCGTGTGTAGAGTGTGGAGTGTAGAATGTGGGGTGTAAGGTGTACAGTGTGGAGTGTCGAGTGTAAAGTGTGGAGTCTAAAGTGTAGAGTGTGGATGTGGAGTAGGGAGTGTAAAGTGTAGAGTGTGAAGTATGGAGTGTAAAGTGTAAAGTGTGGAGTGTAAAGTGTGGAGTGTAAAGTGGGGAGTGTGGAGTGTACAGTGTGGAGTGTACAGTGTGGAGTGTAAAGTGTGGAGTGTCAAGTGTAGAGTGTGGAGTGCACAGTGTAGATTGTAAAGTGTAGAGTGTAGAGTGTGGAGTGTGGAGTGTAAAGTGTCGAGTGCGGAGTGTGGAGTGTACAGTGTAGGGTGCAAAGTGTAGAGTGTAAAGTGTAGAGTGTGGAGTGTGGAGTGTAAAGTGTGGAGTGTAGAGTGTGGAGTGTGGAGTGCAAAGTGTAGAGTCTAAATTGAGGAGTGTAAAGTGTGGAGTGTAAAGTGTGGAATGTAAAGTGTGGAGTGTGCAGTGTAAAGGGTGGAGTGTGGAGTGTAGAGTGTGGGGTGTGGAGTGTGGAGTGCTGCGCCTGCCACGCAAAACGACGACAGAGATCTCCAAAACTTTGGGCCTGCGACGAAAACTGCAACTCATCTTGTGAAAACAACGCAAAAGTATCGGCCTGCCACGCAAAAATGACTTTCGACAAGTTGTCAAACAGGTTGGAATGTCACAAAGCGCCGCGCCTGCAACGCAAAACGACATAACAACCTGCTTTGAAACCTTCGAAAAGGAGAGGTTTTGCAGCTTCCCTTATAGACACGGCAAGGCCACAGGAAAACCAGAGACTCGAGACAAGACACGTGGGAGCATCAAAACAAGCATTTCGTGCGAGACTTCCTCCAATTTTCACACTTTGTAGCTTCAAAATCGACATTTTCCTACGAGTTTTCTTATGAACCTCCAAATTTGCTACCTCAAAATCGATGTTTTGTGCGAGGCTTCCGTCAATTTTCAGCACATCTCACAAAATGCCACGCGTGCCACGGAATTTGCACCCTGTCGCCACTTGACGCAGCCCTGACAATGCGATTCGCAAAAACACGCAACACGACACGTCTAAAGTGCTTCGCCTGCCAGGCAAAATGACCATGGACGCGTCCAAAGTGCTGCGCCTGCCACGAAAACTGCAACGCACGCAAAAGTATTGCGCCTGCCACACAAAACGACTTTCGACACGTTACAAAACACGTCTGAATATCACGAAGCGCCACGCCTGCCACGCGAAACGAAGCAACGCGACATGTGCAACCTCCAAAAGTGTTTTGCAGAACTTACCATAGGCACGGCCATACGGGGCTCGCGCGGACGGTTGCGAACGGTTGTGGACGGTTGCGAACGGTTGCGAACGGTTGCGAACGGTTGCGAACGGTTGCAAACATAAACGCAACGTCGACTGAACACACCCTCAACCCCCAGACCCCCAGAGTGAAACGGGAACCCTTGCTACGCATTCGGGAAAAACTACCACGCGACCAGGAGGACACGCCCCTGAGATCTTAGAATCCTGGAACCTCGAAACACATCGAAACACTAGAACTATGTAAGTCTCGAAACTGAGAACACTGGAATCTCGGAACCTTTGGAACCTTGCTGACACTTCTGAGACCCAAAGCGTTCCTTGGTCCTTGGAGAATAAGAAATCAAAAATCGCAGTCGAAACGGCCCCAAACGTGCCTGAGCTGTCGGGAGACTTCGCACTTTGGTTTTAGCACTGGAAAGTTTTTGCTTTAGAGCATCCAAACCAACCTTGGTCGGCGCATGGACAGAAAGAAACAAATAAAGAAGTTGTTTGACCTGACAAAGTTCACGTTTTTACACCTGCTTTTATCAATAAGTAGGATTGCAAAAGCGGTCCATGGCACAGAATGCGACCTTCAAACATGTCGTTTGAAAACATCTGGGCTCACTGCTGCTTCACGCGACTCTCCAGCAGCATGACGCTCCTGCATGAGAAGAACGAATCGGAGCCAAGAGGATGAGGCTTCACATGCTGGAACTTCCCAAGCAAATGCCATTCATTGAAGAAGTGGCTATTGCAAAAAAGACTGCCAAAGTAAAATGGAAACAGGACCTGATGCAAAGCATTTCAAGCTTCACTGAAGGCACAAAGCCTCGGCAAGCTTCACTTGCCTCTCCAAAAGCTGGACCTGTTCAGGCGTGCAGTTTGCAGGTTGCAAGCCGTTCTATGAAAGAAGGAAGTATTTGGGAAATGCATTGATGCCTTCGCAAAACACAAAATAGAGCATTCTTTGCCATTTTTAGGCCGCTAGAAATCATTTAGAAAGGTGCAACTAGAAATCGAGATGTCTTCAACTCACTTGTGATGAATTGCGCAAGCGAGAAGTTAGCTAGGTTCCTCAGATGGCGAAAACGGCAAACAAAAGAACTAACAGGCCAGCCGAAAGGCCATGCCAATGGCAAAAAGAAAGGGCAATGCTAGCAGATAATGTACGCACTTTAGGGGAAAAGGGAAAACACGACCATTGTGATGAGAGAGCCAGGTTGTGCAAAAAAAGGTCGTGGACATCCAGGCCTTGCTGCAAAATGAAACAAATCTTTGTTGGTTCAGCTGCACAAAACAGATGTGAACAGTTTCAAGCCGCTGTGTTTTCGGTGAAGCACGCGGTATTCAGGCCTTGCGCTGCCTTGATCCAAAATAAACTGTTCCGCTCTCAACATGCCCACCTCAAACAAATCCAAAGCATCCATCTGGACCCGACTAAAGCTGCCCACAGCTGCTGTGAACTTTGTACAGATTGATGCGGCATTGCAGAAAACTGATGCTTAATTTCACCACAAGTCTGCTTGTTTATTTGTCCAAAACAAAACACGGTCTTCCTCTCAAATCTAAAACATCCTTGCATAATCAAAAAACATAGGGATGTCAGCTGCGGATGGTGGGATGTCTACATATAGTCAGCAAGTTCATCAATCATCAGTCTTTGCTTGGCTCGCAAACGACTTTTGTGGGCACACGGATGGTGCGTGCAGAGAAGCACAACACGGTGCGAAGGCATCCAAGTCAAGCCAAGCGTGTGCGTGTGTGTGTGTATGTGTGTGTGTGTGCGTGAGCGTGTGCAGAGTATCTCTACCCACTGGACGTCCCCCAATGTGCCTGTCAAGTTGTAGCTTCCGCAGCCTGCTTGCAGCATAGAGCACACAGCGTCCATTCGAGAACCATTTTGCAACTCGACACGTAGAGTTTTCCCGCGGTCTACTCACGCCAAGCTCTGTACATGTCTGAGGCGTTCTCAACTCACTACATCTGACCGCGCTTCGTTGAATTGAGAGCTATTGATTTGTCCCTCGTGCTCAAATATTGGAATTGCACAATTCAAAGGAAGACTTCAGAATTCTGCCGTGACATCTCCGCAGGAGATAAGTAGGACAGGCCAGCTATCAAATATGAATATGAAGTATAATAAGTACTTGAATGTACTTCTGTACTGACCACTAAGTGGTCTGAAAGAATTTCCATCCACAATCTGTTACTCGCAGCTATGTTGTGCAATGGGTTGATGACATTTTGACTCACCTACAGGGCTCCAAACTCCAGGCTGTTTCTCTGTTTGATTGTACAAACTGAGCACTTTGAATTGGTGCCATTTTCGTTTTGGGACATTTCGTTTTGGGACATT